CCCTCGAGGCGGTTGTAGGAGACGTCGAAAGCCGAGAGGCGAACGAGCAGGCCGAGCTGGTCGGGAATAGTGCCGGAAAGGTCATTGGAATGGAGATCAATGACGTTGAGGTAAGCGCAGAAGGCGAGCTGAGGGGGGATTTGGCCAGAGAGAAGGTTGGAGCTGAGGTTGAGAACGGCGAGGTTTAGAAGGGAGGAGAGCTCGGCGGGGATGGGTCCGGTGAGGGAGTTAGAGGAGAGGTCTAGGGTTTGGAGGTTGGTACAGTTAGAAAGGAAGGGAGAGATGGAGCCTCCGAGGGATCGGCCAGGAAGGGAGAGCTTGTAGATTCTGCCATTGTTGCAGGTAGCGCCCTCGAGATAGGAGGTGAAGCCGTTGCAAGGAGACGCGAAGGTTAATTTCGTCCAGTTCCGGAGGCTATTCGCTGGATCTTCTAGAGAGTTCCGGAGATTCAGGAGACATGACTCGTCAGGGGGATCCGCAGCCACCATTAGCAGCCACAGAAGCAGCGCCACCACCAGCGCTGCCGCTTCCGCCGTCGGCGGTGTTGACGTCATTTTGGAGAAGAGAGAGAGTGGAGATCGGAAGGTTCAGTTAGCACGTTATAGGAAGGCCTCGCTCTGTTCCTCACTTTCCATCGCTGTTCGCGTGGGAGAACATAGAAGGGTGTTGCGGTATGCTCACCGCAGTAGAGTCACGGTGCTTCGCTTAGCGGGGAGCATGGTGTTCGTAGTTGTCATAAACTGACATGGCAGCAAGAAGCATCGCATCGCATCGCATCGCATCGCATCGCATGGACGGTGGTAATTCGGCGTGCCATTGGTTTTTTTCTGGCCGTCCGATCATTTCAGGCAGAGAAGTGGAGCGCTTACCAACTTAATGGGGATGCATAACATTAGACAATAAACAGATCTCCTTCAATAATGTATCTAAGCGAAACAAACTAACATCACCAATCTCAAAGCAAATCGAACGTTTCTGAATGTCATTGAAGGTACGCGTTTTTTTTTTCTTTTTTTCTAAATAATAATTGCATGGAAATTTAGCTCCTTGAGGAGGAGGGAGGAGGTGCAAACCTGCCAAACTCGAAATGTTGATTTTGCAGTGCGTGCCGCCCCACTACACATCCAATTGACAAATTTATTTGCAAAATACGCGGTCGAATGACGTGGAATAAAGCGATTTATAAAAAACATTTTCATATTAATATAATTATTCTTGAGAATCTTAAAAATTTCGAGAGCGCTTAAAAGAACCCAAGACATGGATTTTAACCGTTTTAAAAACGCGAGGAACAGTTAAAAAAGGGGCGGTAAAACCGAAATTAGCTATTGAGCCACAACTTTTTCGCATGGTATATAAACAGCTCCCATAGATCATGTTGTAAAACACAGCATTTCTAATATCTGCACCACGGTTAAAACCGCCTTATTTCTGGAACATTTGTGGTGCTTTTAACAGCTTCATTTCCGGAGTATTTGTAGCACTAAAAATTGCAGCATAGCTACAGATTAAAAAAAAAGCATGACGTGGAATAAAGCGATTTATAAAAAACATTTTTATATTAATATAATTATTCTTGAGAATCTAAAAAATTTCGAGGCGCTTAAAAGAAGCCAAGACATGGATTTTAACCGTTTTAAAAACGCGACGAGCAGTTAAAAAAGGGACGGTAAAACCGAAATTAGATATTGAGCCACAACTTTTTCGCATGGTATATAAACAGCTCCCATAGATCATGTTGTAAAACACAGCATTTCTAATATCTGCACCACGGTTAAAACCGCCTTATTTCTGGAACATTTGTGGTGCTTTTAACAGCTTCATTTCCGGAGTATTTGTAGCACTAAAAATTGCAGCATAGCTACAGATTTAAAAAAACAAAAATAAATAAATCATCCTATTCATTTTCATAAACAATTCTTGACTTATAGACATTGAGAGAGATTCTCGCTTCAAATACAAGGATATAAGCTCTGAAGATGCTTGCACTAGTGTGTTTACCGAGAGTAATCGTGAAAGTTTATATTGTTCTTCAATATGGATGATTAACATATGATATCCAATTGCACACTCTACTTAGTGTCTCTTTGATGCAGTTGCAGCTAACTAAAAAAATACTGTGCAGCACACAACATCCAATTACAGTCTACTGAGGGATTGTTTGGGGCAGCTGTAGCTTATTAAAAAGTTGTTGCACTACAGCTATGTCAGGAAGTTGCACAAAAGCTGCTAAGAGTAAGTTGGGAGTCTATTTGTTTTGTGAATTTTTATAGCAGTTGAGTTGCAGTTGTTTATGAACAAATAACATTTCTACCTTGTGGTATAGTGTTATTGCACATTTCATACTTGAAAACATACATGCAATTTGAATATTGTAAAATTAAAATTAAGACATCACTAAACAAAAACGCAACAATCAAAATTGAAAATAAGATGGTATAGTGTTATTGCACATTTCATACTTGAAAACAGACATGCAGTTTGAATATTGTAAAATTAAAATTAAGACCTCACTAAACAAAAATGCAACAATCAAAATTGAAAATAAGATTATTTAAATAATAATTAATATTATCAAAATATTATTTCAAAAATGCAATCGGTTAATGTCACGAGATAATACCTCCTCCAACGAAATTCTTTGCGCCTGATCACACTATTCACCATGGAATGCTCGAACTAATTTGCCCACCTAAAGAAGTCACGATTCTTTGTTCTATTCAGTGGACACCTGTAAATTTGTCTCTCGTAGCTATACGTCTGTCGCGGAGTAGAGAACACTGCAGTCCATAATAGCAATACAATGTTCTGGAGCACCGAAAGTCCTCAAGCTCAATCTTTTTTGAAGAATTCTTTGAACACCAAAAAAAATTCTGAGACACGACAATGCTTTTTGATGGTTCTATTCATGTGCTTAACAACACTATTTTATCATGGTGTTCTTGGAATACTGAACTCATATCTGATTAATCTTGAAGCACAGTAACTCTTTAATTTATGATCATGATACTAGTCACCATTATTTGATCTGAGGCACTTCAACCTTAAACACGTCTCATTATCAATCATAATTTTCCACTTTTTAAACGCCTCAGATACATAATATTTATGTTTCAAGAAACAAACTTCTGCATTTCATAAATAATCATCAATGAAAGTGATAAAGTATTAAGAGCTTGCACTTAACTGAACTAGAGTAGGATCACACACATCAATATGCACCAACTCCCCTTGGACTTCATTTTTCACTCACTTTTAGAGAAAGTAGCCTACTTTTGTTTGTCATAAGCACAATCTTCATAAAAATCTAGATATACAAATTTTAAACCAGAAATTTTTTTTTTAGAAAGTAGGAATTTCTTACATTTCTCACTCATATAGCTAAGTCTGCACTGTCATGGATCTGCATCACCTTTTGTTCCGAACACCAATGGATTCAGACATTTTATTGATCAGATAAAGGATGTCTTCAATGTTGCCTCGAGCCATCATCCTTGCTCATTTAACCATATTTCATGAATCACCTGTGAAAGTAGTTATTGACTTGCAAGCTAGCACACATAAATCAAATTTACTTGTCTGACTTTATTGAGCTCTTATATCAACATCACCCTTTCCAACAATATTGCAGATCTTGTTGTCCCTCAAATACACCTTCTCTAGATCACATTAAGTGCAATTTTTAAACACATCTTTGTTGGGACAAATATTAAAAGAGGCACATGAATCCACTATATATAGTTTAGTATTATACAGAGACAAAATAAGAGTCACATTTGATTTAATCTGTAAAGATATTTGTAGAGAGTTTTTTATTTGAATCTCCACCACCAACATTCTTAGGAGCTTTGCAGTCTTTCTGAAGTAACATTTATTCTCACAATTCCAGCATTCACACTTGTCTTCCTCTCTCCCTGATCTAGACTTTCTTCTCTTGAAACTCATTATTTCTCTCCTTGTATTTTTTTTCAGATCCATTCCTCTATTTTTAACATTCATAGCAGAATTTGAAGTTTAATGGTTCATCTTCTTGCAAACTTCTTCATTGCCGGTACTAATCCCACAATATCATCAATGTTTAATTTAATGTTACCTGCAAAGTTACTCATTGCAGTGACTAGTCCATCCCAACTGTTTGACAATGAAGAAAAAAGTAAAAGTGCTCTAACCACATCATCAAACTTGATTGCAACATAACACAACTGATTAGTCACAATGTTGAAGTAATTCAACTTCTCAGCCACTGAACTACCATCCACCATCCTCATATTGAATAATCTCTTTATCAGAAAGACTTTGTTTGAAGCCAAAGGCTTCTCATACATTCTTGTTAGTGTAATCATGAGATCAATTGTAGTTTTCTCATTGACAATATTGAAAGTAACAGATGAGAAAAGTGAAAGGTGAATCAAACCTACCGTTGTTCGATCAAGAACTTCCCATTCTTCTAGAGTTATCAATTTCAACTTCTTCGTAATTCCTTCCACTAATCAATATAGTTTCTTTTAAAAAAATAAATCTTAAATTTGCATTTTTCAGGAAGCAATGTTTGAGCCATTGAACTTCTCCACCTCAACCTCAATTCATAGGTCGTTGCTCTAGTTCGAACCAAATATCTTCAAAATGCCCTGCTCTGATCCCACTATTGAGGTGAGAAATATATGCAACAATGCGGAAATACCGATCAAAAGATCTGAAGCAAAACTTTGGATGGAAGCACAAAAACAATAAATCACAAGAAAATATAACACTAAGATTTAACGTGGAAAATTTAAAAATCAGAAAAAATCGCAGTCACACTACATCAAGAAACTAATTATGAATAAATAAAAAAAAAAAATATATATATATATATATAGCACCACACTTGAGCCTCTACAACTTTGGAATTGAAGAACGCTCAT